GTACGTCACGTAGCTGGTTCGATCTTCTCCTCGAGTCTTCGCGTATGGTTTTTTTGACTCGAGTCTATCATCATCTCTATGGTGATCAGGTGGCCTCCTTGTTGGTGTCCCACCTGAGGGCTTCTTCTCGGCGGCAGTATGAAGTTTCCTGGCGGTCCTTCCGTTTCTTTTTGCGTCTTCGTCGTGTTAGCTCCTTGTCTGTTCGGGTGGTCTTGTCCTTCCTCTCGTGGTTGTTTCAGGACCGTCATCTTATGCCTAACACTGTCGCTTCGTATCGTGCGGCGCTGGCGGAGCCGCTTCAGCTTGCTTTCGGTATCGATGTTACGTCTGCGCCGTTTCGCAAGCTGTCTCGTGCATTGTTTCACCTCCGGCCTGCTCATGCGTCGCCTGAGCCGTCCTGGTCTTTGGACAGAGTGCTCGCTTTCCTTTCATCTCCTCGTTTCGTTGTGGCCCCTTCGGTCCAGGATTGTTTTTCCAAGGCACTTTTCTTGTTGGCTTTGGCCTCTGGGGGTCGGGTGGGGGAGCTTCATGCTCTCCTCCGGCGCAGGGGTTTCTGCTCTTTTGGTCGTGGTGATAGTTTTGTTCGTTTGCAGCCGTCTCCTTCTTTTCTGGCGAAGAATGAGACTGCTGCGTTCCGGAGGGGTCCATGGGTGGTCGATGCTTGGTTGGTCAGGCCGGGGGTGCATCATGTTTTGTGTCCGGTTGCGGCGTTTCGCCGTTATTTGCGCGCCACAGCTTCTGTGTCCGGGGACGCGCTGTGGGTTGATCCGGTTTCCCTTCTTCCCTGTTCGCGGGTTCGGGTCTCTCAGGTCGTCCGCAGGGTTATTAGGTCTAGCCAGCCTGCGGTCTATCCCCGTGCCCATGACGTTCGTAAGTTCGCGGCTCTTGCTGCCGTCTTTGGGAATATGTCTTGGTCTGATATTCGGGCGCGGGGATTTTGGCGGTCGAACAGGGTCCTGGCTGCTCGTTACCTTGTGAATGTCCCTGGCCCTCGTCGGGCCTGTGTTGCTTTGGGTCGGCGGTTGCAGCCAGTTGTCTCGGCTTCGAGTTGAGGGGTGAGCGACGACCGCCTCCCGGGTAAGTCCCTCTTTTTCTGTCTGTGGGTAGTTAGCTCCGGGGAGCCGACGGGGCTCCCCCCAGAAAACCAGCGTTGAATGTAATGAAACGCCATTTTCTGGGTGAGTCCCGGAGGCTCCCCGGCATCCCTCCCTCCCTCCGGTCGGCGTTTTTTTCGCGTTTTTGACATCCAGCCTCAAGAACTGAGGTGTGGGTAGCCGGCGCGGGGGGTCTGGGGCTCCCCCTTCCCCCTCCCGGGGAGGGGGGAGCTGCGCAGACAGCGGCGCGGCAGTGTGTGACGTCACACTAATTTGCTTGTTTTCGGTTGGGGAGTTCTATCCACTAGTTCGGTATTAGGTAGCAATTTTAACCAGAATAGGGGTTTGTTTTGGGGCGCTTACCTTTCTGGGTGCCTGTTCCGGTCGATGGCAGACATAGAATGCTTCCAACTACACGGGGGCTTCTATAGGCCATTGCTCCCCTTGCCTCTCTGAGGGGGCCCGGTTCTGGCCGTGGTCCCCGGTAGGCCTAAGAACTCCATACACATGACTGATGCCAAAGTCTGACATTAGCATATCAGCCTGGGATAGCTCCGGGGAGCCTCCGGGACTCACCCAGAAAATGGCGTTTCATTACATTCAACGCTGGTTTTAATATTCGGACCATAGGCCTATTTATAATATTTCAAGTGTTTGGACATCAAGTTTCATGTTATATCTTTGATTTTGGTATCAAATTGTGTGCAATCTAAAGGCACTTATTTTAAAACCACTACCAGATTGATCTGATAAAATTTAAATTTTTAAAAAATATTTTAATGAGTGACTCAGTACTGCGTCGTTGGAACACATTCAGTAGAAAAATGAGTGACGAGATAATCAGTCTGTGGAACCTCAAAGTGTTAAATTTGTCATTGTTTAGTTAAGTTCTCCACACCTATTTCATTCCTGATGGTTCACTTCAATTAATATTTTTCTGCATACTGTACTATATCTTTAACACATCCGTGAAGAGGTAATTCTGTACTGTGTGTCAGTCTTTCAATACTCCCAAGGAATTGGTGATTTTATGCTTTTTGTAGCAAATGTCCTAAAAATTATTCGGTTCCACATCATCCAGTCCATTCTCTTGATTTGCCACAACATACAAAATAAGTGGTACTAAAATGCACGATCCTAAGCCACTTGCCTAACCAAACCAACCTATGCAAAGAAAATGGATAGTTTTGATGTACTCTTTTTTTTTTTTTTTTTCTTTCTTTCTTTCATAATACTTTTTTTTATTTTATACGTTGGGGGACCATAACATACAAAACGAGTCACATGAGTCGAGAGGAAGGGTTGCACCATCAGTCTTCCCGTGTCCTCCTTATGCAATGAAACGTTAACAGTAACACTAAAGATTCCCTTTGCAACAACTGTCATGCTTGACTAATTAGCTACATTGGTAGCTTTAACATGCTAGGGAAAGGCATTTAATATCTGTATGACGTCACATTCAAATACATCTTCTAACTCCTAGGACTTGAATAAATGTCTTTGTGGAAGCCAAACCTAGGTCTCCTCTTATATCAGCCATTTCCATCTCATTGGCTTAGGCACCCCTTTCCTGCATAATTTCCTGAATAGAAGTTTATTACAACCATTTGCTCTAAATTGGCTAAGATATTGGTAATGAATACCAATACCTGTATGTATATGTGGTATGTCATTCTTTTGTGACTCATAGCAAAGTGACAGTACATTAAGTGGAAGCAACAGTCTATAACACCCTTAAATTTTTATAGAAGAAACCCTTTTGTTTCTGTCGTGCTTTTTGTCACTTCCTCTTACTCTTGAAGCAGTAAGTGCAACACTGCACACCTGCTCAAATATTATCCGAAGTACTGTATTCCTTATATTAAATATCTCGGTTTCAACTGTTCAGTCTCTCATGCTCCAAGATCACTGTTGAATCTGTTTCCTCATTGACCAAAAGACCAAATTTTTCTGTGTGCTTCAACCCAAATACCCGTGAACATGGTGTATGTTACTTGGATGGAACTATTAGTTTTCTCAATTTAGTAGAGATTTGTAATGTTTTGAATTTTGGAGTATGTACTTAAATTTTATTTGTTTTGGAAAAAAAAACTAATTTTCCCCCCCCTTCCCCCCTTTCCCTTGAATCCTCAGTTGAGATACCTTGTGGTGCTCTTGGCATTATCTTTATTGTTCATTTGTTTTTCTTTGTACCTATTGAAGTTCAATGTCTTGAGAATGCTTCGTCATACCGAATTGAAACTTGAAATATGTGGAACATGCTCATGTTTTTTGCAAAATATGTGGTTTGTATTGAAATTGAACACTGTAGCTCAGAAATATAATTTTGATGGTTTCTTGAGAAAGTTGCATCATATTGATAGAAGCTGGACAGTATGATTATGAAGCTAGGATTCTTTTCATTATTAGGCCGTGTAGTCTAGTTGCAACTTTAAAATTATAGTTTATAATTTTTAGGTATGGATAATTATATTTTGGTTTGGTTGCGGTTTGGCCAGAGTTTAATCACTAGTGTAGATGTCGACTGCAACTGCACCTGCACCCTTTTTCCCTCAATGTTTACTCACTCACGTACACTTAATCCCACTGATCTCCTGTCATCACCATCAATGCCCTCTCACTTTCCTTACCTTGGTGCCCTTCTACTTCCACAACCTCAATTCAGTTTCAAGATTAATCTCCTCCCTACTTAATCTTGCACCTGCACCCCACCCAACCTCTACACTAACCATATTCATATTCCACTTAAAAGCACCCCAATTCAAATCTGAACTATCACACCCAACATTTTCCTACCCACCATATCCACACTACCTTCTGATACCCAAACCACCCACACTCGCCAATGTCTCGCAATGCTAACTATACCCATCACCCCAGTCATACATGCATACAACTACCCACTTATATCCTGTCCACAACCCCCATTATTAAAATTCATATTCCTATACACCCATCCTACAACCCCCCCCCCCCCACTATCATTTCTAACCCGTGTTGATGAAACATTCAGTTCATTATTTACACACCTACCACATTGAGTGAAAATGGGACAGATGAACAGAATGCACAATACAGTAAAGGGGAAAGTACTCTAACAATACCAAAGTCAGCTGATAATGCAAAGTTTCACCTTTGTAATAAATATGAATAAAATTATTTTTTTCTCATACAAATAAATCTTTTGCTGCTCTCCTACTGGAATTGCTGGATAAAATTTGGGACGAGCATTATTTACATCGCACACTCGCAGTATCTGGCTAGATCAGACCTCACGATAAATTTTTAAATATGCCTGCGTTACTGACAACCTTTTCACATTTACATTTTGTAATTATTGTTAACGCTTAACACTGGCAGTTGATCTGTTTGGTAAATCACACACACACAGTCCAGCTCCAGAACCCCACAGATGTCCTTAGTGTAGAGCAATCTTTCAATCATAAAATTAGTATTTACATGTTTTCTGTTTCTATCAATTACACAAAGCAAAGATAGTTCTGAATATGAAATCATGTTAGGGGGTTAAATTTTCTTGCATATTAGTACAAAGAAAACATGTATATGCGATAATTACCATCTGGGAACATTGTGTAAACCAAAGAATAGAAATACTGGCCCGGCAAGTGACAGTAAACCTGTTTATATTTGGAGGGGGGGAGGGTTATATCGCTGGGAAAAAAAAAAGAGAGAAAAAGTTGGATATTAAAGTTCTGGTTTCAAGAGACTCGTCTGTATCACTTGGATGTCACCGGAGGTCATTAAAAAGTGTAAACTTTGTAACTTTTAATAATATATTTTGACTTGCAATTTTTTCACCAATGCATGTAATATTTTGCTTGTTTCACTCTTGTTGTCTTATCTGCATTCAGCTATAGCTCCAACTTAATGCACATTTTATTACAGTCAGACTGTGGTGATGCAGAACATGTATGTGAGTCAGCAGAACTCAGCCAAGTCTGCAGATGGTTCTCACCTGGCAAATATGAGTGACCATGAGATTCAAGAGCAATTCGAGTATTTCTTTGAAGATGTATTTTTTGAATGTGAAGAAAAATATGGTGAAATTGAAGAGATGTGTGTCTGCGATAATCAGTGTGACCACCTACGAGGGAATGTTTATATTAAATTCAGGCGAGAAGAGGATGCTGTAAAGGCTGCAGAAGATTTGAACAACCGCTGGTACATGTTCCGTCCAATCTACTGTGACCTGTGCCCTGTTGCTGACTTCCGTGAAGCATGTTGTAGGCAATTTGAAATGGGCCAGTGTGGTAAAGGAGGATTCTGTAACTTTTGGCATGTTAAACCAATTTCACATCACCTCAAGAATCTACTTGCCCGTTCCTCCCGTTCTCGATACAAATATCGTTCTCGCTCACGCTCTAGGTCACGTGATAAGCATGTTGAGAAACATGTAGATGTCAAACATAGGCGAAGGTCTCGATCACGCTCCCGTGATCGTGATCGTCGGGAGCGTAGAGGGCGTTACTGAGAAGACAACAAGATTGCTTTAGTTTTTTAATTGTCTTTTACATAGTGTAAGAGTTTGGAAATGTACAACAAATGCATAAAAATTGTAATTAATCGGAGATTTACAATATTTAGAACATAGTGGTGATAAAAAGCTGTAACTGTGAACTGGAGAATCTTTGTAGAAATTGCCCACATTTTTCAAGGAAATTTGACATTGGGTTTAATTTTTATCCTCGAATCCCAAATATATATATCGCTGTATCTGAATGGCCATTAGAATTAAATAATGCTGCAAACAGTATTTTCATAATTTTATAAATGCTCAAATTGCAACAAGGAAGTTTAGCAATCATTATAAATGCACAGACTTGAAGGTGGTTATGCATAGTAAATGCCCAAACATTTCACACATTTTATACACTTCAAGTATGCCATTTATGAAGGCGTTATTTCATTTCATATTTATGCTCTTTAACATGTGTTACCTCTCACTTGTTTCATACAAGCCTTAACACTCGTTGTATGAAGGAAACTTCATAGTAATCCTTAGTGGACCATTCAGATACTGAACTGTAGGCTTAGTGAATGTGACATGGTTAGTCATTGTCTCGTACAGGAATTTGTCTCTTCTCATTTGTTTTGAGAATAGGTCGATTGTCCTCATACACGTTGTTTGTGGTGTCTAAACCGGTAGGATTAGAGGTAGACAATAGGAAATAGCTTTGACAGCATAGTTCATCATTACCAAAAATTAGGTTAGGTCTTATTACCTCTGAATTGGCATATTTCTGGTTGCTGAATATTGAGTACGGTATTGAGTTTAATCAAATTGTTTACGACTTACTAACCATGTCACATACTGTCATAGAAATGGGCCATGCAAAGTGGTGGTATGTTACTTGGGAAATGTGTTGTATTTTTGTTTTCCATAAAGTATTACTTAGGATTGTGCCTGTAACATTTCATTTGAAATATCAGTGAATACAGGTCTCAGCTAATAGCTTCTTTTTATTACCCAGTTTTCGTGCCTTAAATATTTATCTTAAAATGTACCTCTTTTATAGAACCCTTCTTTGTGAAGTGTATTTTCATGTGGATCTTAAGAGAAATATTATTCAATGGAGTTTAATTCAAAACAAAATGCAGGAAACAATTCTTGAGGGAAGGCACCCAGACAGCTGGAATTGTGTGGGTTGGGGTGGGCAGGCTCGTAACAAGGCTGGGAAAACCAGACAATCGTAGGAAATATTCTGATTAAATGAATAAAATAATACCAGTGAAGAAAGCTGTACGTGACATAACAATAAAATGCTGTATCTGCTAGAAAGTTCAGTAATGCAGAAGGGAACTGGCAGCGTTTCTGAAATATTCTAATTAGTACTCTGTAGTATTTGTTTATCAAACGTCGTAATACCATAGGGTTACACCTTACCCTATCCTTCCGAGAAATAAATTGGGAAATTTTACTCTACTGTATCGTAAATCTGTGTACACAGTACATTCAAATATAATTTCCTGTTACAGAAAACGTACCGTATTAGTTACTGTTTCGGGTTCTGGTAGTTTGAATAAGTGGAAAATTTAATTATGTCGTTCTTGTTGTCATTAATTTACTAATATATTTATTTTATTTTTAAAGTATTTTCTGACCTAACCCCAAAGACATGATTTTTTTCTTCTTCCCTTGACTTGATTCTTCCTAAATCTTAGTGCTGAGCACTTTTATGTTTTGAACACTTGTCATTTACTGTTAATTGTGCTCACTTTGATCATGTAACCTTACATAGAACTTTACACTGCTGTTCTCTCTTGATTTTAAGGATTGGGAATGTGTTGAAAGTCCTGCTTTGCAGAAGTCCTTTGGTTTTGTTTAATGGCTGCTTCCTCTTTTTCTTCTATGAGCTCCCGAGAATTTCTAGTACTTAAGGTTATGAACGCAAATGGCTTTAAAATTAATAGATGGATCGTTAATTTATGAAATTTGGCCAACGTTGATAGTTTCATAATTACTGATCTGTATATATATTTAATTTTTATAATTATAATTGATGCTGCTGATTTAAACATGCATTTCTTGAGAGATGTAAGAAACATTTTATGAAATTTTTGGAAAGTAAAAATATAAGTAAATTTAAATGGAAAGTAAAGTGTGCAGTTCAAGAATTTTTTAAGCAGCTGCTTGGCATTCTCATTTGTTCTGATTGTGCCCACAAAAATCAAGTTATGGTCCCTTATGTTTTGTTCAAGTCCATAACTTATGAACTTTTGTCCATTATAACAATTCTCTGCCCGTGAAATGAGAAAGATCAGCCTGGAGGCTACAGCTTCAGATGGATTGCTTGTCTTATCTTGTCTAATTCGCACACAGTGTGTGCGAATGCAAGACAGACTTAACAGGTTTAATTATTATATTGCCTGAATGGGCACCATTTACATAAATCCTACTAGCATTTTTATCAAATGTAACATTAGCTAAAGAAAAATAATTACAATAATTTCCAACAAAAATTTAAAGGAATTTCCATGGTGTTACTTTGTTCTTGATAGACAGGCTCTTACTCATCACATTAAAGTAATTACAGTATCACGAGTAAAAAGTAAATCGAGGTTTGTGCGTTTTGAGTCTGGATTTGTTGGCTCGTTTCCTTATGTATATATTATGTACTCACCTAGTTGTGTTTGCGGGGGTTGAGCTCTGGCTCTTTGGTCCCGCCTCTCAACCGTCAATCAACAGGTTATGTGCGCAGGTGTGTTCGCACAGTGCATGGGGCGATCTGCTTTCTCTCACTTGCCTACGTTGGCCTTGTTTGACCATATTGCCTTTGTTGCAGTCATTATTATTATTATTATTTTTTTTTTTTTTTTTTTTTTTTTTTGGTATTTACCAGTTTGTTTGCTCCCTAATCTGAGGTTCAAATTTACAAGCTTTTTGATGCATCATACTCCCACTGATATTGGAAAGTTAATTTTCAATGTTGCTGTCCATTCCCGGTCTAAAAATAAAATCCATTTAGTTTAATTCTCAAAATATAATTTCCAAAGCAAAGATTTTTATAGTTGATTGCACTGCAAGTTAAAAAAAAATAGTGGTATTGGTGGTAAACTGTTCAAATTGAATGGTGAACATTCACTACATTTGGTGAACGGAGGCTTTAGAATGTCGGTATAGTGCACTAAATAAGGGTCATAGATTGCAATGTGTAAGGGGAAAAATTTAGTATGAGTGACATTTTTATAATTTCAGCATCACTTCATTTCCAGTTTTCATAGAATGGGGAAGCAGATTCTTAAAAATAAAAATATTACTGTAGATTTAGTACAGCATTTAGCAGCACTGCACACAGTCTTCTCCCTACACGTAACATTGCATGAAACTAATATTATTTCACAGGAGTATCGTGGACATTTCATTGATTAGGGGAACAAATGATCTCATTGTGGTACAGTATGTATATATATATATATATATATATATATATATATACCACAAAAATAACATATTCCTTCCAGGCACGCTGTTTTCACTCAATCCTGTATATTGCTTATGTGATTCACCTTCATACTGCATTTTTCACTTGTATCTTCCAGGTTGTATTTAGGATTTACACTGGGAGAACCCTGTTTTCTGTTATGCATTTAAATTATTTTGATAGAGGGATTCAAAATACAGTGGAGTCTCTCTTGACTGGACCAAGTTGCGTCAGATGCCTTTTGCCTCGAGAGCTTGTGTTGCATCTGACCTTTACTATTATTTTACTATTTTATGACCATAATTATAGTTTTTAATAATGCAAATACTAAAACATGCTTTTTTCTTGTCCATTATGATACAAAAATCAATTGGGAAAAATGTTTGAAATTGTTATTGAATCAATTTTTAAATTTTTCAGCGTCAAATTCTGATCCAGCAAAAACAGTACATGGTCGTACTCCACTGGAAGTCTTCCATTATTTTCCATTGCTATTAGATCACAGTGATCTTATGGCATGAACCATTGCTTCCAGAGTTTCTACAGACCAGGTTTAGTTCAAGTGTGGCTCCACTAAAATAGGTTTAAATGGTGAAAGCCGTATAGTATTTAGAATAAGGATTGAACAAATTTTCTACATGTGGTGAACCTATGGCATGCATGCCCAAAACATTAATGAATTGATAGTATGAACCAAAGCTTATAATTTCACATACACATTTCTTCCTTGTAAAGCAAAATACTATTTTTTCTTATTAAAAATATTATTATTATTAATTTTTTGACAAGCTTTCTCAAATGCTTTCCTTCATTGCAATCTCCTGTGAATAAGTAACAGGACTCTTCCTTTAAAGTTCATTATTAATGTTACTAATTCATTCATTTTACCTCTTTGAAAATTATTAGGTATTAATTACAAAAATCCTAAAGTTGTGTCTTTTAAACAATTTAGAAGTTATTGGTAGCCTAAACAGTCTTTGTAAGTGCTTTCAAGTATTTTATACTCTACTTTAAAAAAAATTACAAATAAAATAATAATAATAATAATAATAAATTATAATCTGCAGTTCTAATTTCCCAAGGGCATTTGAGATCATATTTTAGAAGAATATTTATTGCCAGTATAGGTGCACGCTGTCAAAACGGTATGCCACCCCCCCCCCCCCTCCTTTTCTAGAACATGGTTCAGTTTTTTAAATTAAGACTGCAACTAGGGTGTTATGTATAGTATTACCTTAAAAATTGGAAACATGCTTTTGAATTACTGGTCAATTATACTACTGTGTAACATAGTTAAAATATATATCGACTTAATGTTCATAATTATAATAATTTGCAGTATGTAAATTGTTCATGGCTGCAACTTACTTGTAGCGTGTACACTGTACTCTAGTTTCTGGCTAGTATACCACTTTCAAAGCTATGTGTGCTTCAGCTTCTTACTTATCTTCCCTGGATCACTATGCATTATTTGAAACGTTTCTTTATTATATTTATCAATCATAATCTTGAGAGAGTGAATTCAGTCTTAAAAGTGTGTGCCATATACAGTATGGCATGTACAGTACAGTACAGTACTATTTAAATTTTCATAATTGTAACCCTAAGGGTTTCGAAGTTGCAATTTCCTCGTTTCTTAACAAATATGAGATTAATATGCCAGCCTCGGGAACACACTTCAGAAAATGACTTGCAAGATACTGTAGTGAAAGTATTGTTAAGTGTTTACTTAGTATTGTATAATTAATCATATTTAGGTCCCTTTGTCAGGGATTGGATACTTCATTGTTTTGTTGTGATGGAAATTTTCTCCCTTCATCCTTCTTCTGTTTGGTTTCATTTCGGTATGTTGAGTATACATCATCATATTAATTGAAATACTGTACTTGCATTTTAGAAAATGTGTATTGTTGCTATTGAAATAAGCAATGTAGCCTAATAGTAAATATGTATAGTTAACATTATCATGTGATATTTTGAGGAGAACCTTTTATCAATTTGAAACTAACAACACTTTCATCAATCACTTTGCTATCGAGCAGGATAGCTCAGTGGCAACTTTTTTGTTTGTGTAGAATGCGTAAGATTGTGTAAGATCATAAAACTGAACAAGTGGACAGTGCAAGACAGCTGTGTGTGACCTCGCTGGTCACTCAGATGCCACTAAGTCACCCAGATGTTTACCCACAGCTATGGTACCTTTAGACATTTTTGAAAAGGTGAAAGTTCTTTAAAAATTTGAACTACATGACAGCAATATGAAAAATGTTGGTATTATCCACCCATTCTTTTACCTTGGCTGCTTCATTCTTTGCAAAGGGGTATAAATATGCAGTAATTTGTTGTTGAGGACAGGAAGACTGCTTAGGCTTGTCAGGGTCCCACTAGGCAAACTACACTGTACTGATTTTTTCCAAGATGCAATTCACAACAAATACCTATATCCCAGGTACTTATTTACTGCTAGTGAACAAAGGCATCAGGTGAAAGGAAAGGTGTCCAACCATTTCACGCCCTGGGATTGAACTCTGGTACGTCAGTTGAGCCGAGTATGTAGGCCACAGTGCTATAGGACATTTGCGTGAACAGTTACTGATAAATACTAATTTAAAGAACACTTATTATATGTATGTCAGTTATTATATTGACATGTTATTTAGTAATTTGCTCCACAGTTCTGCAACCCCATTTCCAAACCAATACTATAGCATACTTCTTCTTGAAATATAAACTTATTCAATTTGAACTCATTATTTCATGTTTCATTTTGGATTAGTATTTTTAGCTTCCTATTTATATTCTCCTTGTTAAACGTTTCGTCCATTTCTGCACTTGGGTAACGTTTCCCTCTTGCATACCTTTCTTGATAATGTCAATTGACGTATGTTATTTTGCTGCAAGGGAAGTTTCTAATGCCTGGGATTAACTTTTGATTTTGCCATTTTATCATCGTTTAGCTAATAGGTAGTACAATATCTCTCTTGGTTTTAAACCTTACAACTGTTAGTATTCATCTGAATTTATTAACCTTCATATTTTATCACAAATTTTAACGTGTCTTGTTGTGAATAATAGAGATCTTATGAGAGCTTTGTGACTGTAGCTGTTCTTTTTTACTCTGACTGTATTCCATTTATGGTGGCCTGTTTTCTCTGCAGTACCCAATGTCATGGACAGCTATTTCTTTATTAATCTCTTGTGTGGTATAGTATCACAAGCCTTACAAATGTATGTAACTATCATGATCTTTTCTGTCCACTGCTTCAAACTAAGTGGAATATCTGATGTACTTCATCTCCCTTTACCAGCCCCTCACAATTTTGGTGTACTGCTCAATTCTTATGATGTATTGGATAAATTGTACCGTATTAACATGGATTAACTAAGCACCTTACATTCATTTTAAGATCCTGGCAATATTTTCTTTGGGTCTGGCAAATTTCATTTTACTTTCACATACTTTTTGGAATGATTTTATACCTGCTCCCAGCATAGGAACAGATTTACAGACCATTCAGAAACAGGGAAAACAGAACAGAAAAGTATCGATTTTTGTACTTGATGCAGAATATAATAGGAAGGGTACAGTACACAAGGGTTATGAAAGGGTTGAATGAAGTTTGTCAATGCTAACTTAAAAGGTCGTCTAGTTGGCCCAAAATTTTTGCTTAAATGAAAATACATGAACTGTGTCTATATGAATGGCATTATGGGCCAAGGGAAATGTGAGTTGCTAAATATCGCAATACATCAGTACTGTATTGTGGTATTTATAAATCGGGATGATTGTTACTGAAGTTATTTAATATTATGAATGATGGGTAGTAGAAGTATTGCATTAGAGTGGATGTCATATTTGTGGTACGTACTGGTATAATATTTACTTGACCAGTCACTTGGAAAAACTGAGTAATGATCATTCCAACTGTGCTTACCTATCAGTGAGTGTGAGGAGCTAGATCTGGCTCTGCTTTTTCTCCTAGACATTTATAACCAGCACCATAATTACATCTCTTGACATTAGATTATAATTAATAATAATTATTTTGTCATGGTACAGGCAGCCAGTGTATATATACATGTTAGGCTTGTATCGCAGTCCTCTCCCAAAGTTGAAATGTGCAAACCTCAACAAGTGACTTGACTCCTGGGTCTCTATTTACTGCTAGGTGACTAGGAGCATTAGGTGATAGGAGACTCGCCCAATAATTTGTCCTGCCTAGGATTCAAACTCAAAATTCCTGATTGTGGCAAACCTGACTGTAGTACTGGGACCCCTTATGTCATGTTTGTTCTTAACACTAACAAAAATTTCACTTCATTGTGGAAAAAATAAATTATAAATAAAATTACCTGTAGAAAGTAAAGACGAGAGAGAAAACAAAACCACCACCACCTCTCTCACATTCAAATGCTCTTGGTGAAAGAGGGCTGTGGTAATGTCTGGAACCTGTAGGTGCGGAGGCTCGGACGTCCACCTCCTGGGGTTCGTGTGGCCCAAGCTCTGCTTCAGGAGGCTGGGGGCGGTTCTTCTCTGGCCTCGATTACGGCGGCCTCCGGGTTTGGAGTTCCTGTGCCTTCTTTTACCAACTTCAAAGTAAACTCCAGAGCTGAAGCCCCTATGGCAGTTTGTTGTTGCCTTCAACCTCGTTCTGACAGTTCCTGCGACGGTGTTGTAACCAATCGTATTGGCTTTGCCTTTCCATTGGAGACTTTCGGTGCTGGGGAGAGGGGGGGACCTGCTGCATGGGTAAAAACTTCTCCATATCAACCTACCCCTGGCTTTGCACCCTGAGAGGCCACACCACACCGACAACCAGAACACAACTCCATAGTCTCCCGAGACTGATAGATGCCTACTATTTACTACTACAGTCATGCATTCCTCTCACACCAGCAAAAGAATTTGCTCACATTTTAATTTTTTCATTTATTCCACAAAAAGACTTTAGAAGTGCTTGTTTCACTTGCTTCTATATCTTTTAACAGGTGAAAGTCCTCCATGGTTCTCATAATACTTGGCTTTCCCTATGTAGTTGCTCTTCTTTACTTTTCTGTATAATTGATTTATTTAGGAAATGAAAATCCCAGCTCCTTTGTTGCATAATTTTTTCTTCTCATTTTACATTGAATAGTAGAAACTACATAGTTTTCTAATTAAGTGCTTTTTGTAACTTCCTTTTACTTTTCAACCAGTTTGTGCAACACTGCACACCTGCCCAAAATCTTAACCAAGCATTCCGTGTATTAAACATGTCACAGTTGATCAATCATTCATGCTCAAAGATCACTGCCGACTCTTTACTCATTGACCAACTGAATCTCATCTCGACTTGTATTCCTTCACCTCTTGGATATTTTAGGCATCATTCATGTATTATAGTCTTAATGTACACAACACAAATTTTTTATAGTAAATTCAGGCGAGAAGAGGATGCTGTAAAGGCTGCAGAAGATTTGAAAAACTGCTGGTACGTACATGTTCCGTCCAGGGGCCTGACAGCTGAGTGGACAGCACTTTGGATTCATAGTCCTGAGGTTCTGGGTTCGATCCCCAGTGGAGGCAGAAACAAGTGGGCAGAGTTTCTTTCACCCTGGTGCACCTGTTCACCTAGCAGTAAATAGGTATTTAGGAGTTACAGCTACTACTGGCTGCTTTCTGGGGGTCTGATGGGTGAAAGAGGCCAAAAAAAAAAAGAGAGCCTTATTGAAGGACTGGGCCGTGGGTATGCCAAACCCCGAAATCATCTCAAGATAACACTGAAGTAATCAGACAATCGTCCAGATAATTCTCATGTTGCTTTTGTATTCTATATCTTCTTATTCTCCCTCTTGTCTGCCTCTGCATCCTTTCTTTATACAATATATTATTTTATAATTTAACTTTTCTATAGCAACAAAATTCATCTTGCAATATGAGGTCTATCTGTAACTTGTCTCTCAAGTTTGAAATTGTAGTCCAAAGTAATTTTGGACTTCATCACTTATTGCAGCTATATGAATACTATTCTTCCTCTATATATAGTTTTTCTTCCCAATTTCTTGTAAATTATTAAATGTCTACATGCTTGCCTAATTCTACAGATGAAAATGGGGGAAAAGGGTAAGAATACTCATTAATGGGGAAAGTAGCATAAAAAATTGTCAAGTTACCTTACCTTGAGGTTACCTTGAGGTGCTTCCGGAGCTTAGTGTCCCTGCGGCCCGGTCGTCGACCAGGCCTCCTGGTTGCCGGACTGATCAACCAGGCTGTTGGACGCGGCTGCTCGCAGCCTGACGTACGAGTCACAGCCTGGTTGATCAGGTATCCTTTGGATACCTGATACCAAGTTAGTTGAGTCGAAAGAATTAAATGCCAAGGAAAGTGACCTTTACCCTTTACTGTCCTCTTACTACAATCATTCCATGATTTCTCACCGCTAATGCTTTCAATACTTTTATAATATTTTCAGCTCGTATGTTTTTCACCACTTGTCAAAACCTTGTCTTACATGTTGGTATATGTTTGGTGTACACATCAGGGGCACGCTCTGGCCTCGCAGGTTTTAGTATCCATAATCTCTCTACCATTAAAAAACTAGTATTAGCACCTTTATTTAGCATGCATCACTACCTACTACTGTATATGCAAGTGTTGCTCTGAATATTACAGCAATTTGGAGAGGGGAAGGCTTGAATGACTAAATACACTGAAAATATGTTATTTTGAGTAACAAATACAGGCTGGGAGCCATTGGAGACATGGTGTAAACAAAGAATTAAACCAATTATAGTGTCCCAGGATGGGCCATTCTTTTAATATAAGAAAGATACAGGTTTTTGGATTACGTACTATACTTTATGAAAAGAGCAAGTGACATTATTTTTAAAATTTGAACATTTCGGAAATAAGTTTCAGATTAAAGAGACGTGGCTGTACGGTGCCACCAGAGACTAAAAAATTATATTTTGTAACTTTTTAATACTATATATTTTTACCTCAAATTTTTTTCATCATTGCATGTAATTATTTTGCTTATTTCACTCTTGTCTTATCTGCATTCAGCTATAGCTCCAACTTAATGCACATTTTATTACAGTCAGACTGTGGTGATGCAGAACATGTATGTGAGTCAGCAGAACTCAGCCAAGTCTGCAGATGGTTCTCACCTGGCAAATATGAGTGACCATGAGATTCAAGAGCAATTCGAGTATTTCTTTGATGATGTATTTTTTGAATGTGAAGAGAAATATGGTGAAATTGAAGAGATGTGTGTCTGCGATAATCAGTGTGACCACCTACGAGGGAATGTTTATATTAAATTCAGGCGAGAAGAGGATGCTGTAAAGGCTGCAGAAGATTTGAACAACCGCTGGTACATGTTCCGTCCAATCTACTGTGACCTGTGCCCTGTTGCTGACTTCCGTGAAGCTTCTTGCAGGCAATTTGAAATGGGGCAATGTGGCAAAGGAGGCTTCTGTAACTTTTGGCATGTTAAGTCAATTTCACATCACCTCAAGAATGTACTTGCCCGTTCCTCCCGTTCTCGATACAAACATCGTTCTCGCTCACGCTCTAGGTCACGTGATAAGCATTCGGAGAAACATGCAGATGGCAAGCATCGGCGAAGGTCTCGCTCCCGTGATCGTGACCGTGATCGTCGGGACCGTAGAGGGCGCTACTAAGAAGAAACAAGATGGTTTTAGTTTTTTAATTGTCTTTTACATAGTGTAAGAGTTTGGAAATGTACAACAAATGCATAAAAATTATAATGTAATAAATAAGAGATTTACAATACATGCTTAGAACATAGTGGTAACAAAAGCTGTAACTGTGAACTGGAGAATCTTTGTAGGACTTGCTCACATTTTTCAAGGAAATCTAGCATTGGGTTTAATTTTTAATCTCGGATTCCAACACTATATATATATATACATATATATCACTGTATCTGAATGGCCATTAGTTTTAAATATTGCTGCAAACAGTATTTTCATAATTTTATAAGCGCTCAAACTGCAACAAGGAAGTTTGGGAATCATTATAAATGCACAGACTTGAAGATGGTTATGCATAGTAAATGCCCAAACATTTCACACATTTTATACACTTCAAGTATGCCATTTATGAAGTCAATATTTCATTTTCATATGCATTCTCTTTAACATATGTTACCTCTCACCTGTTTCGTACAAGCCTTAACACTCGTTGCTGTATGATGAGAACTTCGTAGTAATCCTTAGTGGACCATTCAGATACTGAACTGTAGGCTTAGTGAGTGTGACATGGTTAGCCATTATCTCGTTCATGAATTTGTCTTAACTCATTTGTTTTAAGAATAGGTTGTCTTTTTTATACTAATTGTTTGTTGTGCATCTAAACTGGTAGGATTAGATGTAGGTAGGAAGTCTTTTCGACAGCATGGTTATTCAATAAAGATTATAAATTGTCTCTGAAATATAATATTTTCCTGTTCCCTAATATAATATCAAGTTTAATGAAATTGTTTACGACTTACTAACCATGTCACATACTGTCATAGAAATGGGCCATGCAAAGTGGTGGTATGTTACTTGGGAAATGTGTTGTATTTTTGTTTTCCATAAAGTATTACTTAGGATTGTGCCTGTAACATTTCATTTGAAATATCAGTGAATACAGGTCTCAGCTAATAGCTTCTTTTTATTACCCAGTTTTTGTGCCTTAAATATTTATCTTAAGTTGTACCTCTTGGCAGAACCCTTCTTTGTTGTGAGGTGTATTTTCATGTGGATCTTGAGAGAAATATTATTCAATGGAGTTTAATCTAAAGCAAAATGAAGGAAACAGTTCTTGAGGGAAGGCACCAGACAGCTGGAATTGTGTTGGTTGGGGTGGGCAGACTCGTAACAAGGCTGGGAAAACCAGACAACTGTAGGGAAATATACACATTAAATTCTCCCAAATGCATAAAGATGTTCATGACATATCAGGAAGGGGGCTTGACTTTTTTTTTTAAAGTGGTTTTAAGAATATCTGTGTTACATATAAAAATGTCATTGATGGCACTGTGTAAAAGGAAAAAGTTTTAATAGGTGCATCATTTTCATAAGTCATAATCCATTTCTCACTCACGAGGTGTAGAAGGCATTGCTCCTTTCACGAGGTGCCTGGAACGAATGGAAAATATCGGTAGCACCGCACCCAACCATGTCCTCACACATTAGCAGCAGTTTAATATCAGTGTATAACAGCATAAGACATAAGACACAGGAATATCCAGGACATTTTATAGTCAGGGCACCAAATAATCTTGTTATTGTGCCACGTATATAATTGCTACAAAAATAAAATTTAATATATTTTCTCCATATGAGCTTTCTCAGAGTCCTGTATAATGCTCCTTATTATGTAGTTCATGTGCATGCTGCATTTTTGCTTGTGTCTTACATGTAATATTTAATATTTTCAATGGGAGAATCTTCCATATTATAAATTCTATATATGTTTTTTGCTTTGCATAAGAATTTTTTTCCCCCAGAAAGTAGTTCAATATTTTGAGTGAAAGCTGAAGCAATATTATTAGGCACCCCATTTTGAAACTGTTAAATATGGCAAACTGTATTATTTTAAGTATAAATAAGAAATGCTGTGCAAATTAGAGAGGTTAAATTAACATGTATTTTAACATTAAAAGATACACATTTCCCAAATTCCAATGTAATTAATGTCATAAGCATTATTATCACTGTGGTCGGCTGCTGCTAATGGGTGGAGGAGTGTGGTGGTGTGTGTTTAAACTGATGGTATATACTGTGAATGATTAAATAAATGTGAGTGTAAATGTTGTCAAGTCTTGTAACCTTCATTATATTATTCCCCCGTTTCTCTCCAGGCAAATGTCCTCTCAAGCCTTACAAATCGAGATGGGGTAATGCTACTGTCTCATTTTTATGGATGCAAATTTCTTTTTTTTATCCTCGTTACCTCCTCCCTCTACCCTTTTTTTCCCTCCATTCCCTGTCTTCCATATCCTTTTCTCCTTCCACCTCCGTCATCCCATATCTCCATAGTTGATAACGGGTAGGGTTGTCATTGGCTCATTTGGATGTGGCGTCATGGCCCCCTCCACTTGCAAGATGGTGTCTTTTGTTCACCCATCATGAATGTACCAGTCCATTCTCCACATAAAATAATGCGATTACCAGCATTCTCCTGTCGAGCATTACTTGATATATATTCTTATTTACATTACATTAACTTGTATTTACTCTGGTTTTGCGAGATTGTCTTTCCAGGGAATTTATTACAGGTCTAGCCTGCTAAATTTACAAAAGGATAACCTTTAATACCACGTGGATGGAGACGACGACGATGTTAGCATTAACTTATACAAACTCGAATCCTTATATAAAAATTTTATAATTTTCAATTTAGAAAATACAGTATTTTTATAAGTACTGTTTGGAAAGTGTTGTAGATTTATGTAGCAAATTACAAGGTTATAATAGTAATGGTCTCGAGGCGTGAGTTAGACGCTTATATCAATGAGTTTGGTTGGATATAAATGGGAAAGGCCTAGCATGAGCCAATATGCCTCTGCATTTTAATATATTATGGCTTCTTTCCGATTAAGGTATATATCTAAAAACCTAAGAACATTTTTCGCCACGCTGCGCCATCACTTCTCAAACCTGACCCGACCTAACTTACCAAAATGAGAGATTTGTTTTATATACTGTAGGTATGCACACGGTGTATGACGTCATAATTTGATTCTGGCATGGGTCTTAGATGCTACTGCTCTTATTCCTCAAGATTTGATTTTATACGTATTTAGTGTGTAGGGTAAAAGCCTAAGTTTTTTTATGCACTAGCATAAATGCCTTTATCTCTGCATTGGTATATATATTGTATCTGTAACGGCAATTACTTTGCATAGAAAGGCTTCCAAAAATGCTGTGATGTACTCGATGCCAGCTCATCACATACATAAAAAGCAATGGGGGAGGAATATTAACAATAAGACTACAGTATACGGAATATAGCATAGTCATAATTTGGGGGATTTTAATGCTAAACATAATAAAGTACTTGTAGAATATAATATGTACAGACAAAAATACAATATTTTTATTGTGGAAAATGATAGTGTACAAATGTTATCAATTTATTACATTCGTCAAGCCAGCTCGTCGAATGTTATGAAAACTATCACCTATGATAACAGAAATATATAACTGAATACCGCTAAAGTTGACAGGAACAATCTCCCTATGTACATTGTGTATATGAGGCGTTAACTAGCAGATTTTGGTTACACAGTGAAATCACAATAATGTAATATATTGGAGAAAACGCTTTGGAGTTGAACGACGCGCGTCTTGTAAGACCCAAGACGCTAGTGTTTGATCCTACCATCCTGCTCCAAAGATTTTATTATATCTGGCTAAGAACCATATGGCAGCGAATACATAGTTAAGTGTATTAATGTATTCTTCCAGCCATTTATGTGGTCAGGACTTACCCAAAATTAAATTGTTCTCAAGTGCTTCCTCCACCTAAGTATTCCGCATTTTCAAGCTTAAACAGGACAAGCTGGAGAACTTGTATGACGTTATACATACTGATTGAGAGGTGCTTAGCGTTGTATGTTAGTAAACGCCTCATATATATTATAAAACATTGTATACTATAGGAAATAGTGTGTACGGCTTGATCCATCCACGAGGGTGGAATTATTGAGATAAAAATGGAAGTGAAGGGTCGACCAACCCATTGTTTTGTTATTTTCAGAGCTAATTCACCCTATAATATGATGTTAGCTGGGCGAGGATAAGTATAGACTGACTTCACTATTACTCTACCGCGGTAGTATCAACCATAAACCAGTTCTTTGTTTTTCGCGCCATAGAAGGGATTGCTGTGTTTTGTTCCTGTAGTGGAAACTAAATGGACAATTGATGGAAGATTAACCGTTATTATATGCCATTAAATATATAACCAGTTAAATATTAATCTTGGTAATGCTTTGATCGATTTTTTTTTTTATGGTTGAACGAGTGTTCCATGGCAGTGACTTCTCGCGCCGCCAGCCGCGCAATGTCACTTTCTGATCCAGTTCGTCGCTGCCAAATTACTCACCCGACAGCTGTGCTGAACCACACAGTTTCCACTCACTCCTATCCACTTACCGTCTGTGGCACCTCAATAAAAAAACAACCGCGAAATTGTGCTGTGACAAGATTATCAAACAGCTGAAGGAGTGTCAAATAAAGTATGGAGAGTATGGATTTGTATGCCGCATATCGTCATTGTTACTAGTTGTACATTGAAAGGAAAGTGGGATGGATAAATTTGGTTTCCTATTTCTGTGTGTATGGGACAGCAGGTACGGAGATAACAGGAGTTAAGGTGAGCGAGGGCGGACATGTGGCTGGAGCCAGCGAGGCAGCAGTGTGGGGCCAGGCTGACCCATCGCCCACGACACATCCCGCTTACCCACAGCTACGGGTCCTCTGCAAGGGTAAGACAAAGGTGTAAGTAGCTTAGAAATATACTTCATTACTACGACATAATGTTGGTACTGTGTGCACCCAACTATGCTGTGTACTGTGTTTAGGAGGCCTGGTCGAGGACCGGGCCGCGGGGACGCTAAGCCCCGGAAGCACCTCAAGGTAAGGTACCCATTAGTTTTTTTTTTTTAGTCTTTTTAAAGGAGTATTAATATAGTAATTTGTATAATAATTTAAAGGACACGAAATGCAATACTCTGGACGATGATTGTACAATGCCTTGACTATAACGATGAATCTAAACTGAATTTTAAACGGCTCAAGAAAATGTACATGATAATTTCAAAAGCTGAATGTAATACTATACTTTATATTTCTTGCTTATGTTTTGACACCCATTGACAATACCTTGAAAAGTTGCAGCCTACACAGCTTCAGTCAGCGTAATAATCAATGTAATCAACCCACTATTTTGAAAACGCAAGAAACGAAAACTTCGATTTGTGTAATCAATTACTGCATAACATAATAGAAGTAGGATCCCTTGATTGTTTCAAGCGTAGGTTAGACATATATATGAATGAGATTGGCAGTTATAAATAGGAGCTGCCTTCTGCAGTTATCCTCATTCTTATGTTCTTAGACTGAACATTTCAGTCCCAAACGGGGACCCTCTTCAACAGTGAGTGAGAATGGCGTCTTCGTTTCTCGTGGTGTTTTCAAAATAGTGGGTTAGTATTCCATAATTATTACAAAGTTTTAAATAAATAAAATCGTTATTACTCACAGAAGGCAACAGCGACCCTCAAAGAGGCAGCAGATAAGGGAGATTTTTAGTCGCTCGGTGCAGGAGCCACAGGTGGCCTCCGTCTCTGCCACCAGCACCAGCAGCACCACCATTACCACCACCACCTCGCCCATCTTCCACACTCCTCTTCCTGACTCTCCACCTACTCTCATTATACTCGAGGATTGCTCAATAGTGCTGGATGGGTCCGTCGTGTCGACGTAGAATGACTTGTTGCACAGGCAGGTATAGATGTAAAATGCCTTGTAATTGAACTTTTGTAATTGAAACAATCACTGGGAAGGCTGGAATATATAGATGGCAGAATTTTACCAGATACTCAAGAAGGTGGCCTTAAAGGGCAGTCTCGGTGTGGGTGATGAAAGGTGAC